GCCCCTGTCCCTGTGGCTTTTCCCAGCCTGGCAGATCTGCCAGAGGGTGCCTCCCCACCCCCCAACCCCCACTGATTACAGTAGCTCTGCCCAGATACCCACCTCAGACCCTCCCTCCAGGGGACTGAAGCTCCTAGATCTCCCCTAAAACTGGAAGTCTTCCCAAGGTTTGTGGGGAGGTCCCCCCCAGCCTTCAAATGAGCCTACACAGCTCAAGAGATGGGCTTCTTCTGTTGTTGTTTTTTAAAGATTTTCAATAAAAGAGTACCAAAAGAGTGTTTATATACATGTCTTAATATCTCACAAATCTACTTATAGGGATGGATTTCCTGAGGTCTGGCGGAAATCCCTCTGGCTGTGCTGGTGGAAATAGAATATTCGAACATCAAGTTTTCTTTAATCACTCTTTGGAAAAACTCACATGTCACTTTCCTGCTCCAGATGAACTACTCATCGCCTTCAGTTACCTTCCTCTTTTGAGGGGTGGGAAGGATTGGGCTTCAGCTTGCAGTGCTCAGAGACTACTTTTGGTCCTGTGCTCAACGGTCATCGTTGGCGGTGCTCAGGGGACCATGTGTGATGAAATCCAGGCCGGGTGCACGCACAAAGCATTTGTTCTAGCTCGTTCTGAACCATCTCTCCAGCACTCCGTACGCTTTTCTGCCCCTTAGCAAGCCGAGCAGGGTTTCCCTAGTACCTGCATCTCTTTCCTTCTTTCCCTCCTCTTCCATATCATGACGCCTGATTTGGATCCCACCCTCACCCTGGCCTTTGTTCCCTTCCCCTGAGTTTCATTTCATGCTTCTTTCTTTTTCTTCATCACTGTCTAAATTTTCTGTTTGCTGCAGCGGAGAGATGAAGAATTGGGTCAGAGGCGCAGCGCCATTGATCGCCTCCACTTTCCCTTCTTTTCTGGACAGGCTCTCTCCTCCTCCCCACCCCCAACCTATTTTTAGCCTGCCTCTGTTTTCCTGCTTCTGGTTGGCAAGCTCAAGTCCTCTTTCTCTTTGCGGCCCTTATCTCTCCCCCACAGCCGGTGCAGATCCTGGCGGCCCTGCCAGAGATCTCCTCGTGCCTAGTTTATTCTGATTTTCTCCCATCTTGAAGATATGGATGGAGGGTCGGCCTGAACGGGGCTGCCAGGCCACCTCGGGCAGGTGGGAAGCAGGAGAGAAAGCTGAGGAGTTTGTCCAAAAGAGATCCTTCCCTGCTCCTGAAACTGTCCTCCATGTCAGAGCCCCCCACCCCAGTGAATTCTCCACCCTCTCACCCAAAGAAACCATCCCAGCCTCTCCTCTCCCCGCTTTCTCCTGTCCCCAGAAACACATGCTCAGTTCTTGGCCATTCTAGATGTTTCCTCTGACACTGGGGGGTGTGGGGCATTCTTAGAGTGCTGTGCCTACCTTCTTGGCCTGCACATTACCAAGCTCTCTTTTGGAGGGTGGGGGTACACAGGGGATATTCCTGGCTTTGTGCTCAGGAGTGTCCCCTGGGGTGCTCAGGAAACCGAGAGTGGTGCCCAGAACTCAAACCAAGGTCAGTGCATGCAGACAAGTGCTTCATCTCCATACTATCTTCCTGCCCATTCCTCCCCTTCCCCCCTCCCCCAATCTCAGGGGACCATGCATGTGGTACCAGGGATCTAACCTGGGCCTCCTACATGTAACAAGAGAGATGGGTCCTGCCATTCTTCTCTTCACTCTCCCGGATCTCACGTGTCCCCCTACCCCCAACACACACCTCAGCCTCCCCCACCCCTTCCTTGTACTATTTCTGGAATAAACGGACTCACTGGAAAGGGTCTTTGCCAACACGCAGAGGTCTTCTCACCACCCCCGCTGGTCCTTCCTTGGCCTCCCCTAAACATCAGTGTCCCCCTTCAGCTGTCACTGGCTCACTGAATGGGCTGGTCCTTAGGGAGGGGAGCTGTACTGACTGGAAGAGAAGGCGGCACTGAGAGAAGAGGCAGGCTTCACGTCCATCCCTCCACACCCCCTTCTGTGTCTCCATATAATCACAGGATTCTTTCTCCTACCACTTTCCCCATTTCCTTACCTCACCCCCAATACAGAAGCCTCCTCCCCTGTTAGCCCTACCCTGACGACCATCTAAAGGGGACTCCCTAGATTAAGTCATGCAATTTTCTGCCACATGAGTGGATCTGGAGAGTATCATGTCGAATAAAGTTAGAAGGAGAGAGACAGACACGGAATGATCTCTCTCATATGTGGGATATAAAGAAACTTTGAGGGAATAATGAAGCCCAAACAGCAATAGAAATGAAAAGCAGACGAAGTGTTCTTCAGTAGGAAGCTTGACACTAGATTGGAGGGTGGTGGCGGGGAGCGGGGTGGGGGGCCAGTGCAGGTGATACATTAGGGAAGGGAACACTAGGAAAATTGCAGAGAGTAAAAGTGCCTGTTCCGGAGGCAGCTGGGAGCCAGAAGGGATGCTGAGGACACTAGTAGAGGGAAGTGACATCGGTGAATAGATTGGTGTAAGAATATTGTATGCCTGAAACTTAATAACAAATAACTTTGTAACTCTGTAATTCACAGTGATTAAAAAAATAATAAAGGGCATCTCCCTGGTATTTTCTAGCTTCCCCACGCATCTGTTTTTTTCCCCAGATTGCCGCTCACTTTGTAACTTACTCATTTGTAAGTACTGCTCACCTGTTGTCTCACTGGACTGTAAATGCCACAGGAGTAGAGCAGAGATTTTGTCTTTTGTTTGCAAATATACCCACGATACCAAAGAGACTGGTACTTAGCAGAGGTTCAACAGCATATTGAATAACTGAATGAGCAGGTAATCTGCAGGGGGTGGTGGTGCTCAGGGATCACTGAGTGCTCTGTTCAGGGATCATTCCAGGTGGTGCTGGGCAGACTATGTATGATGCGGGGGATTGATTCAGGGTTAGCCACATGCAAAGCCAGCACTTTATCCCTGCTCTATCTCTTCAGCTCCTAAGCAAGTGACCTCTATTTTTTTCCTTTTGGCTTTTGAGTCACACCCAGCAGTTCTCAAAGATCACTCCTGGTGGGCTCAGAAAACCACTGGGAGTTATCTCTCCAGCCTCTCTTACTTGATTCTTATATATCATTGTAGAAGTGTTCCCCCCACCCCTCCCAGGCTACACTCAGCAATACTTAGGGTTGATTCCTGAGTCTGTGCTCAGGAATCGTTCCCTGTGGGCTTGGGGGACCATATGGGATGCCGGGGATCAAACCGGTTAGTTGCATGCAAAATAAGCACTCTGATAGCTCTCTAGCCCTATCATTATAGAGTTGATCAATATTATTAGTCCCTTTTGCCCCTCTCTGTGGTAAAACACACTATTTGAATCTTTTTTTTTTTAATTTTCTAGTATTGAGGATCAAACACTGGTTTCTTCTTCCCAAACCTAAACCCGTGCCCATTCATCACTAACTCCCCTGGCCTGGAGCAGGCTCAGTGCCTCAAGCTCCTGCCATACAAGTGTGAGGCTGTGACCCAATCCCCAGATTCCTGCAGTCCCCGCACCATGAATGACTCCACTGCATCACAGCCAGGCCAACAGAGGCACCCTTGGCCATAGAGCACCATAACTGAAAAGATGCCCCAATGCTGAGAGCATGATCACAGCCCCATGGAGAGCACATGTGAACACCACAGTGACCCCTGGGAGTCACTCCAAACTGAATGTATGTGAATATGACTGAGGGGCAGACCCACGGTGAGCACTATGGGGCGTGTGGGCACCAAAATCAAGCAGTATGTGACACCTGATCTTTGCAACACCCACATTAACAGAAGGATAGGAAAAGGCAAAACTGGTTTAGGGATTTTTTTTGGGGGGGAGGAGGGAGCTACTCAGTGCTCAGGCTTCTGATTCAGTGCTCAGAGATCACTCCTGGTGGGGCTCAGAGGACCATATGAAGTGCCAGGGATCGAACCCAGGCCTGCCATGCGCAAGATAAGCACCTTACCCATTGTACTATGGCTGTGGACCCAGGAAAACTGCTTTTGGATGAGTGAAATAAACTCCCTAGTTCCCTGCCCGCAGCCACCATTCTACCTCCTTCCTGTACAAACATAACATCATTATGTGCCTCCCGTAAGTGGAATTTGGCTTATTTCAGGTGACAGAATAACTACAAGGCTCACCCAGGTTGGGTTATTTCCCCCATTTTACAGAGTTGAGGTTCAGGGAGCCAGTGGAAAATTCCCCCCAAAGCTGGCTTGGCCTGGGGGGATGGGTGGGGTGGAGTGAGCTTGGCTTGTTATGATAATTCCCTGGAGTCAGTGTTAGCTCCTCTCTAGGGCAGTTGAAGAGTAATTTCCTCTGTGTTGGATTTCCTCTGGGAACATTCCCACTCTTTTCCCATTCCTCACTCTTCTCAGCCCAGTGGCTTCTCCTAGCATCCCTCCCCATTGTACCTCCCAGTCTAGGTTTTTCTCCCCCCAGACCACTTTCTCTCCTGTCTTCTCACACCACACTACCCACTCTCAACACCCTCCTGAGTGGGTCCCCTGTGCACCCACACTCCTCGCCCCCCTAACCCCCACCCCCAGGGCACTTGTGAGCCGGTTCCCTTCCAAAGCAATTAGTGCAAGGAGGCCAGCCGCCTCGGTGCTAATGCCGTTTCATTAAGTGAGAGCAATCCTAATGATAATAAAATGGCACATTTAACATTCAAACATTGAGCGGGGTTTCTAAGCGAGTGTGTCTCTCGCTTTCTTTCTGGTATAACAGCTCCATCTTCATAAGGACCTGACAATACACCTTAATGAGAGACAGGGGAGCTGAGTATCTTTACAGAACCAGAGAAGGGAGGCGACGCAGATGAGAAACCCTGAGAAAGAAGTTGAGGGCAGGAAGGGGATCCAGATCCCCAGAATTCTCAGGGTAATGGGTTCTGGGAAACTGATTAAGACACTTGAGTCTGTGAAAAAACAAGGTCACATGGAAAATAAAACTCACCACAGACTTTAATGCCATCTTGCTATTTCTCTGTTTATTGCTCATTTATCCCCTTCCCCTTGTTATTGTGTGGTGGTGGTGGTGAGTCTGGTTCATGACCTCCTGCCTGAAGGCCAGGTGTTTTCCTGCTGAGCTTCATTCATTCATTCATTCATTCATTACTTGTTATTCCTCAACAAACACATTTTGTGTAAGATCAGCCAGATATGATGGGAATTGTAATAGAAGGTGGGTCTCATTGTAAGACCAGGAGACTCTAAGGTTAGACTATCCCTCACTCTCCCCTGCATGGTCAAAACTGTTCCAGCTTATCAAATGTCCCCCTTAAAAGAAGTCTGTGTTTTCCACTTCTCTTTGTGGTTGCCATTCACCAAGGGGGTACAGACTTGGTTTTAGAACTGAGGGTTAGATGGGCCAAGCCAAGAATGGCACCCGACAGAACTAAGGAGATCCTGGCTTCAAGCATACAAGGCAGGTACTCTACCCTGAGCCACAGCCCTGCCCCAGAGACCACTCAGATCACTGCTCTGGTCTCCTGGCCACTCCTTATGCCCCTTCTTATTAAGAGATTCACCTCAGGGTCAGGGAGATAGTTCAAAGGACTAGACTGCATGTTTTGCACACAGGGGCTCCCAGTCTGATGCTCTGATAGCAAATCCCAAGCACTAAGCTGGAACTGCTGATGTGATCCCCACCACATATACACAGAGAGAGGAGAGGAGAGGAGAGGAGAGAGGAGAGAGAGAGAGAGAGAGAGAGAGAGAGAGAGAGAGAGAGAGAGAGAGAGAGAGAGAGAAGGAGCTTCATCGCCATCTCTAAGGGCTTCATTACTCTATGATTATGGAATATCTGATAGACCTTCTGAAAGCAAAGTGTGGGACCGAGGAGCTGACAAGGGAGGGAAGAGAGATTCAATCATTCCTATTTGCAGGGAGCTCGGGAGAAGCAGAAAGAGCGTGTTGTCACTCTGCTTCATCTGAGACTCTCTCTCCACTTCTTTCCTCTGCGATTCCTTCTCAGCTCAGGGGCACAGAAGAGGCTGCTGCCCAGGATCAAAGGCTGGCTCTTCCCAGGCTAGGGAAGCGGCTGATTCGAAAAGGTGTCAAGTCATAGGAAGGCGTTAGTTTCATGCTTAATTCATACAGGATCTTCCCCACCACAGGGGACAGCTTGAATCCGTGCCCTGGGAAAGGAAGCAGACGATCAGGCATGCTCAGAGAAGGGATGGGCTCTCTGGGCTCCCCTCAGGACCCACAGAGAGTGGGGCTTCCTCTCCTCTCAGTAGCATCCCCAAACCTGGACATTGCCTTACAGCAACACCCTTCTCAGATTGCTCCTCCCTGCCCCCTGACACATACAGCAGCTGCACTTTGACACCCCTCCCCTCCTGCCTGGCCAGTTAAAAGTGTGACAAACCACCTTTGCTTGGCATTAAAGTGAGTCAGCTTTTTTTTTTGGGGGGGGGGAGGCCTGCTGAGGGTAACAGCCAGCAGTGCTTAGGATTTACTACTGGCTCTGTGCTCAGGAGTCACCCTGGTGGTGCTTGGGATCAAGCTTGGTTCAAATTTGGGAGACCATGCATGGTGCAGGGGATGGAATCAGGGTTGATTAAATGCAAGGCAAGCAATCTTCTCCTGCACTTTGGTCAGCATTTTGTTGTTCTTTTGTTCAGTTTGGGGGGGGGTCACACTTGGCGTTACTCAGGGCTTACTCCTGACTCTGTACCGAGGGATCACTCCTGGTAGGGCTCAGGGCAACATAAGGGATGCTGTGGATCAAACTCAGGTGAGTTGCATGCAGAGCAAGATTCCTATCCTCTGCACTCTCTCTAGCCCCAAGAGACATGACTGATCAGCTTCCAGAGACACAGCTCCCCTTCCTCATGCTCACCAGAGAATCCAGCACCAATGATAATGTTGTCGTACTTTGGGTGTCGGTCAAGAACAAAATGCTCATCAGGAGTGTTCTAGAAAGAAATAGTCACAACAATGTCTCCTGAAGATAGAGTGGGGAAGGAGCACTTCAGGCCCAGAAGGGAGGGGATAGGGCTGCATTTGTTCACAAGAAGAAGGGGAACAGGGCATAGGAATGAGGTCTGTGTGCCAGTGTGCTCCTTTGGGCAATGCCAGGCTTTCTTCTCTCTCTGTCCATCTGCCTCTTCCCCCACAGAGCTATGAACACAGTAGGTGCTCAGCTAATGCATGTAAACTATCTTCAGCTGCCTCCGGCCCTGGTGACATCTGTCTCTTCTCCTCTTTCTCCCGAAGGCCTGCTCAACTAAAACATCTTGCCAAAAAATCTTTTAGAGCTCTTCTGGGAAACATCGTGAAGGACTGCCAGGCATAAGCCTAGTTTCTTAATGAAAAGGAATATGAATAACCGCTCCAGGCGCCTCTCGGGGAGCAGTAAGCTGTCTGCCTGTGTGAGCTTGTTTGTATCAAGGCACATTCCATGCCAGAGGGTCAACTAGACGAGAGACCCAAGCTGGGCATGCCTGGTCCCTTCCCCAGGGTCCAGAGCTCTGCGGCACCGGGACCAGCCCCTACCGTGTACATGCAGCGTTCTACAATGGCAGGTTCCGACTCAAGGTCTGGTAAGTGTTTGCTGACAAAGTCGCGCAGGATCTGGACATCCGGGATGTCAGAGGGGCACTCCGGGCAGTCCCGCTCCTCTGGATCCGCCTTGTTGCCGTGGTGATAGCAGACCTGGCTTCCAATCAGAGCAGAGTCAGCTGCTAGGGCCAGCCCAGGGGAAGCTTTGGGTTTTTTTTTTTTATTTGGGGACCACTCCTGACTCTGTGCTCAGGGCTCAGACCTGGTGCGTTTGGGGGACTATATGCCTGGGATCAAAATGAGGTCAGCTGTGCCACCTGACCTGGGTACTATCTCTCCAACTCTCTGCCCCTCACCCAGGGCAAGCCCATCATTTCCCAGCCTGTCCTAGTTTCCACAGAGACTAGACAAGGTTACCTAGAATGGTGCGTGGACCCCTGCAAGTCCTATTTGCAAAGGAAGGATTCCCTTCGCTGGAGGCTCTGGGGGTGCATGTAGCCCCTGGTGCTGTTGGTTCCTGCAGGTACCCACAAGCTCTAAGGGAGTCTGTTGGGGAACATGAGCGCAGCTGCCCCATATCCACATGGCTTCCTTCCCACTCACTTTCTCGAGGCCTTTATACTCACCTTCATCATCCCTGGGTACTCTCGAGAGGGCAGCCCATACACGTGGTGGGGACCCAGGCTGCGTTCCAGGCTCAGGAAGCACGGAAAGGCTGCACCATAGCTCCCAGGAACTTTCTCTCGCCAGTAACATACATTGATCCGCAGTGTCTGGGCAGGGAGAGGGAGTGGGAGTGAAGGGAGAAATTCTTGGAACTCTAAGGACATGTAGAACATCTTCTGGGATCTGTGACCCTTTAATATAAGCCTGGTTGGCTGCTGATCTCATCACCCTTGCTTTACCCATTCCCAGGTCATTTACATGCCATATTTTCTTGCATACACAAAAATCAATCTGCCTCACTCCCCCTTTTTTTGTGGAAAGGGGAGTTTTGGGACCCCACCTGGTGGTACCTGGGGCTCCCTCCTGGCTCAGTGCTTGGGAGTTTCTCCTGGCAGTACTTTGGAGCTATGTGGTGCTGGGGAGCAAACCCAGGCCTCCTGCATGCAAAGTATTACTCAACCTATCGAGCTAAATCTCTGGCCCTTCACCTTCCCTTCCTTCTTTTTTTGCTTCTTCCCTTCCTTCCTTCCTTCCTTCCTTCCTTCCTTCCTTCCTTCCTTCCTTCCTTCCATCCGTCCTCCCTTCCCTTCCCTTCCCCTTCCTTCCTTCCTTCCTTCCTTCCTTCCTTCTTTCTTTCTTTCTTTCTTTCTTTCTTTCTTTCTTTCTTTCTATCGCACTCAGCAGTGCACAGGGTTACTCCTGGCTCTGCATTTAGGAATCTCTCCTCGTGTTGTATCCCTAGCAGCTGGGGATTGAACTGAGGTTGGCCACTTGCAAGACAAGTGCCTTACCCGCTGTATGATCTCTCTGATCCTTCATTGTCCTTCTATATATATCTTCTCTTATAACTGTTCTCAGCCCTTCTCTCTCCAGGAGTTAACATTACATATATGCTTACTAGGGCTGGAGCGATAGCAATAGCACAGTGGGTAGGGCGTTTACCTTGCACGCAGCCAACATGGCCAACCCAAGTTCAATTCTTCCATCCCTCTTGGAGAGCCCAGCAAGCTACCGAGATTATCTCGCCCACATGGCAAAGCCTGGCAACCTTCCCGTGACGTATTCAATATGCCAAACACAGTAACAAGTCTCACAATGTTACTGGGTCCGCTCGAGCAAATCGATGAACAATGGGAGAACAGTGACAGTGACATGCTTACTAAAACCCAGGCTATCTCGTATAAGTACCCTATAATTTAATTCTCCACTAGTCCTATATTTCATTTTACAGAGTATAAAGCAGAGGCTCACTGAGACGAACTAATTTGCCCCAGATCACCCAAAAGCAAACAGCAGATTCAGGATCCAAATGGGCTCCAAGGCTTCTCTTAATACCCACTGCCACTCACCTGGAGAGGCAGCTCAGCTCCCAGGGGCCGGAGGAGCCTGTTGGTCCAAGGGCCTGCAGTGATGATCAAGCTCTTGCCTTGGTAGCTCCCAGAAGGTGTTGTCACTGTGACTGGTTGTCCTGGTTTGATCTCCAGCACCTTCTCTCCATCACGCACTATCCCTCCTAGCTGTTGAATTGCATTCTGAAGGGAAAGAGGCGGAGAATGGTGAATTTGTTCTATATGAGATTCATCCTGGTGGACAAAGTCATTCACTTAATGCAGAAAAGAGAGCACAGAATCATAAAATTGGGACTGGGGTGATAGTACAGCGGATAGGGAGTTTGCCTTGCACACGGCCAACCCATTTCAATCTCCTGCTTCCCAGATGGTCCCCTGAGCACCTCTAGGAATAATTCCTGAATGCAGCACAAAAAACAAACAAACAAACAAACAAAAAACTTGAGCACTGTTGTGTGTGGTCCAAAATGAAAAAAAAAGAAAAGAAAGAGGGGCTAGAGCAATAGTGGGTAGAGTATTTGCCGTGATGCAGCTGACCCGGGTTTGATTCCCGGCATCCTATATGGTTCCCCGAATACCGCCAGGAGTAACTCCTGAGTGCGTGAGCCAGGAGTAACCTCTGTACATCACAGGGTGTGACCCAAAAAGCAAAAACTAAATAAAAAAGAAATAAAGAAATTATAAAACTGCCCTGCCCTAGAGCTGGAGCGCTAGCACAGCGGGTAGGGCGTTTGCCTTGCAAGTGGCCAACATGGCCGACCCAAGTTCGATTCCTCCGCCCCTCTCAGAGAGCCTGGCAAGCTACCGAGAGTATCTCGCCTGCACAGCAAAGCCTGGCAAGCTACCTGTGACGTATTTGATATGCCAAACACACTAACAATTGTCACAATGGAGACATTACTGGGCCTGCTCAAGCAAATCGATGAACAACGGGAGGACAGTGACAGTGCCCTGTCCTGCAGGTTAACAGCAAAGCAGATGGGACAAAGGCTCTTACATGGGGTGGAGAGGAGAGAGGGCTGATGGGACAGGAGCTGCACTGCCCCTAAGGTTGCACAGTATCACCTGGAGGGCTCTGAGTGCCTTGTCAGCATAGAGGATCCCTCCAGACTCATCCAAGAGGCCCGTCTCTCCACTTGCTGGCCGCATGTTGGGAAAATGCTGCTTCAGCTCTTCAGGTTGGAGCCACTGGTGCTCCACCCCGTGCCTAGCCAGAGTAGCCTTGATGGTCTTCAACTCTGGATTCTCCTTCATTCCCAGCAGCAGGAACCCCGTCTGCCTGTGAATAAGAAACAACACACCTGGGTGAAGGGGCAAGGGAGCATTAGTACTTTGGCTGTTTGCTCTCACTCATCAACACCGCTGGTCCAGGCAGAGAAAGGAGAGTCTGGGCCTCAGCTTCATGCGCACAGGATAGGCTTTGGGACTAGAGAGATGGTGCAGCAGGTGAGGTGCTTGTCTTGCACGCAGCCCACCTGGGTTCAATCCTTGCCACTGTATATGGTGTCCAGAGCCCTGTCAAGAGTGATCCCTGAGCACAGAGCAAGGTGTCAACCCTGAGAGCACTGCAGTATGGTTCCCCCAAACAATAACAACAACAGCCGCAACTCCCCCACCCCCAGCATGCATTGCATATAGGAGGCCCAGATTAGATCCTGGATATTGAATGGTTCCCTAAGCACTGTCAAGAGTGACCCTGAACAGAGTTGAGTTGAGAGTAGCTCCCAAGCATTGCCAAGTGTGGCCCCAAAATTCAAAATAATAACAATAATAATACAGAAAAAACCAAGACAAAAGAATGAAAGAAGGGCTGGAGCGATAGCACAGCAGGAAGGGAGTTTTCCTTGCATTCGACCAACCCAGGTTCAATTTCCAGCATCCCATATGGTCCCCCAAGCACCACCAGGAGTAATTCCTGAGTGCATGAGCCAGGAGTAACCCCTGTGCATTGCCGAGTGTGACACAAAAAGGAAAAAAAAAAGAATGAAAGAAGGGAGGGAGAAAGGGAGGAAGGATTCAACAGGGGTGGTCACTTGCTCACTGGAGTCTGTTCCAAGACCCTTGGCTTTCCATGTGGATTGCCTGATCCCTCCATCCTCTCTCCTCAGGACTCAGCCTGTCCTGGAGATTCTAATCACGTTTATCCCCATTCCCAGAAGGGTGTCCAGTAAGACTTCTTCCCTGGTGCTTACTCAGGTCTCCTGAGCACATTCATAATTTTGATTTCCCTGTGCTTTTATGTTTTTGTGTTTGACTCTTAGCGGGCAGTGCTGGGGGACCCATGTGGTGCTGGGGATGGAGCCCTGACCTCCTGCTGCACAGGTGCACTCAGCCCAATTGACGATTTTGAGTTCTTTAATCTTCATCCCTCTCCCCCACTGGAGCTGCTTCTACCCAGCCCCTCCCTTTTGCCTTTTAATAAATGCACTCCTGCTTCCAGCCTGGCTCTCTCCATCACCTCTCAGAGGTAGCCCCTTTGGGAAAGGGTCTAAGCTGGGAGCTGGAGAGTCATCACCTGGCTCTGTCTGCTCCACCCCCACCCCCCTGAGTGTCCCACCTTCCTCCTAACATGTCTCTTGGACTCTCAGTGGTTCCACACCTTAGGGGGTACTGCCCCCCACCCCACCCAGGGGCATGTGGATAGGTCATGCCTCATTTTTCAGTTGTCACCATGTGAACTGCCACTGTTACCCAGTGACAGGCGCTAGGGATCCCAAGAGCCCATACCAAGGCGGGCAGAAAGCAGGGAGGGAGTGGGGTGTCTCTCCGGCCCCCAACAGTGAATTCGGCATGCTAAGCTTTTGTTTCTCCCTGGACTGACTCTGCTTCTGATTCCCTCCGGAACGAAAGCTGTTTCTCTTTCACGCCTTCTGTCTCAGTGGCACAAGAGACCAGAGCTGGTGTCTTACAGCAACGGATCGAAACAATGAAAGAGTCACTGTGGCCCTGGGGGCCGGTCCTGTGGTCCCTTCTTTATGTCAGGCGCCCGGTGACCAGCGTCAGTCTGGTACATCCCCCAGGTACTGCATATAAAGCTCGTAATAGCCCATAATGGAGTCTCATGGATATTACATGCTTCCAAATCCCACATTATCTGGTCGGAGGGATTAAAGAGAAGATTGGGAGGGGGCAGGGACACGGCGGGCCCTAGGGCCGGTGTCAGTACACAGAGCCGCGCAGCGCGCCGAATCCATTCGCCACGGCCCCCGCCTACCCGGCGTTTCGCCCGCAGCGGGCGCGGGGCGGCTCCAGCGCTTAGGAGCTCAGCCTGAGCCAAGGGGCCGCGGATGCCTCAGTAGTCAAGCAGCATCTTTCCTGGGCCCCTAAAGAACTTCAGCTTGGTTTTCGGGTCATGAAAAGTTGCCTAGCAAACGTCTTGGTCACTGATGAGGTTTGGCTGGGTAGAATTCTGGGCAACTCTTGGCTTAATCCCCCCCTCAGCAGGGATGATACCAGATCCCTGGCCCTAAAATTTCAGAGCAACATATTTTCTCCCCTTGCCTGTGAAACATCAGCCTTGGTCTAATAGAGTCTGGAATTTCATTACTTGTTGTTTTTCTTTTGTCCTTCCCTGCCTCCTTCCCACCATCCCTGTCTCTCTCTCTCTCCTTCCTTCCTTCCTTCCTTCCTTCCTTCCTTCCTTCCTTCCTTCCTTCCTTCCTCCCTCCCTCCCTCCCTCCCTCCCTCCCTCCCTCCCTCCCTTTCTCCCTTCTGCCCTCCCTCCTTCCTTCCTTCTTTCCAACACTTCTTACAGGAAAGGGCCATTCACAGGGAAAGTGAACTCAGACCAAGACAACAGGCAAATCTGCGGAATTATGAAATGCTGAGTGATGTTCTAATTCCCATGCTGTCCCGTGGTGGATGAAGCGGGAGCTCCCCATCCCGAGGAGTAATCAGTGCCTTGATGCCGGTGAATGTAATTGTGCCGATTGTAATCATTTTGCTCCAGCTCTCTGCCCCTGTGGCATTTATTTCTTAGCCCAGATATTGATCTAACAGTGGGAAATTTTCCATCTGAATTTGTGATGCTGGACCCTCCCTTGGTCCGAAGATGCGTACGGGAAATTCTCATTTTCCGTGGATCACAGCTGAGCTATTTGGCCTGAGGGAAACCGTCACTGCTGGAGAAATGCCTTGGATTGGAGAGAGATTTTTGACCATTATGAGCAAATCGGAAATAAATGTAAAACACTGCCTGGAAATGCAAAGGCCTGTCATTATGGGAGATAGGTGAGAGGCTCCTGTGGGAAATGCTTAGAGAATTGGAAATCAGTCAATCAAAACCAGGATCGGAGAATGGGCCTTTCCCCCCCAGAATGAAGATAGATGACTTCCATGGGCAGATTGAAAATCATTTAAGTGCTTATTTTCTTAATGGCTTTTCCTAGATCCCAATAAACAGCCTGTTCATTCTGCATCAATTTTGCACCCCTGTGCTCAGAGCCTCCTCTCCTCTTTTTCTTCTGCTGAGACCTCGACTAGAAAGTTTGAGGAGAAGGGCGAGAAGAGATAGGCCTACCCTAGGAGTAGGGAAATTACCAGGTTATGACCAGTCTGGGCTGTTACCTGGACTAGGGAACCCTGGAAACAGCTCCCAACCCCCAGAAAGTCATCAGCTGAGAGCAGAACATTTGGTAGGAACAGACCTTCCTCCTGCCCCTGGCTGTATCCAGCATCGAGGCCAGTGGAAGATTTCTTCCGTGAGCCTTGTTGACATCTCTGTGGCCTGAATAAAGCCTCAGACATGATGGAGGGAGCTGGTGATCTGGGATTTCTACCAGTTACCACAACAGGAGGGCTGGAACGATAGCACAGCGGGCAAGGCATTTGCTTTGCATGTGGCCCACATGGCCGACATAGCCGACCCTGGTTTCGATTCCTCCATCCCTCTCGGAGAGCCTGGCAAGCTACCGAGAGTAACTCACCCGCATGGCAAAGGTGAGATGCCTTGCTTGGCAAGCCCCCCCCCCCCCCGTGACATATTTAATATGCTAAAAACAGTAACAATACGTCTCACAATTTGTTGTGAGACGTTACTGGTGCCCACTCGAGCAAATCGATGAACAACGGGAGGACAGTGCTACGGTGCAGTGCTACCACAACAGGACCGGGGGCAGGAAGGAGTGGGGAGGCTCGTGACGAGAAGACAGCACCAGTGCCCTCAGCCCAGGTTCTGGGTTTCTTTCCTTTTCCTGGGTTAGAAACGCCAGGCAGTCTTCTTTCAGAGTCACCTTGGGGAAGGGACATGAATTGGGATTTGGCAATGGCTGCGGTCTTTGTTGGGTTTGGAGGCGCGCTCGCGTTTCATCTTCCGCTCAGTGGGCCGAGGTGGAATTGGTTAACAAAGACTGCTCCAGGGAGGGGATGTGGCTGACAAGCCAGACACTTCACAGGCACGGGAAGCAGCAGCTGCGGAGGGGGCCACCAGGTTCTGCCAGCAGCTGTACTGCCTACGGCTGTGATCTTGTCTGATATTGTCAGCTAAGCAGGGGCAGCCGGGGTCAGGAGCTAGATAGTAGGATTCAAAGGGAGAAGGCGGGGCAGGGGACACACGGGCCACAGAGCTGGGATTTGCTGTTGGTATCAGCGTCCTGACTGTACGCATCACACAAGATTCAGACCTTGTGATCTGACACATGTGTCATTGCCTGTTCCCAAAATATATGCAAATATTCTGAGCCCACTGTGTTTAGTATGCCACTGTCACAGGAAGAGGCAGAACCGAATAAAGAGTTGGACAGTCCTCTTCACTACCGATTCCTAAAGGTTTGTGCATTGAAAAAATAAAATAAAAATCAAACAGCATTGAGGAAATGCTCTTGTATCTATCATTTAGATGAGGATATTGTGCTGGTTCTTGCAGAAGAACCTTAGAGAATAAGAATCACAAAGATGATGAATCCTGGAGAAAATCAGAATTAGTTGCTGAAGCTAAAGGAACGGGAATGGACAGTATTTGTTCTCATGTCACTACTAAGTAAAAGAATGAAGTAAATTGGTGTGCTTGAGTCCGTTAGATTATCCCTTAAAAAGGAATTGTTTGTAATAATATAATAACACCTAACATTCTACAGAACTTTAGGGGTTTTTCAAAGCACATTCTCTTTTATTTTGGGGGGTTTGGGGTCACACATGGTAGTACTTGGGGGGACCATGTGATGCAGGAAATAGAAATGAGATTGGCCGCATACAAGGCAAGCATCCTAAACCCTGTACAATCACTTGAGTCAAAAAGGTTTTTGTCTTTTTTTGTTTGTTTTGGGGCCATACCCAGTAGTGCTTGGGGCTTAGTTATTCCTGGCTCTGTGCTCAGTAATCACTCCTAGCGATGCTCAAGGGAACCCACTGTGCTTTCTCTCTGCCCCCCCATGAGTGGTCTTTTAAGAAGGTCTCTCTGCTATTTGTCCTCTTCAAATGCAGATTAGCCATCCTTTGGTCTGGGAGAATTTAAGTATGGACTTACTTGGAGACAGGGGAATGGTCCAGGAATAAACTAGTTTATTAACCTTTGAAACCAAATATTGAAACATGGACCTTAGGTCTACACCTGTTATTTTGCTTATTTGGTTTTTATGTTTTTGTTTCTGGGCACACCCAGCAGTGCTCAGGGCGTACTTCTCACTCTCCACTCAGGGACCATTCCTGGAAGTGCTCAGGGGATTACATGGGGTGACAGAATGGCCATGTGCAAGGCAAGCAAGCATCTTATATATAAATTTTGTTGTTTTTTCATTCTCTACCTCTGTCTCTTTCTGTCTCTCTTTCTCTCTGGGGAGGGGGTGCACTCAGTGGGTGGTGCTCAGGGCTAACTCCTGGTTCTGTGCACAAGGATAACTCCTGGGATCATGCCAGGGATTGAATCCAGGATGGCTGTGTGCAAGGCAAGCACCTTACCAGCTGTGCTATCTTGCTGACCCTTTGTTTGTTTGTTTGTTTGTTTGTTTGTTTTTTGAGCCACACCTGGCAGTACTCAGGGATCATATCTAGGTTTGTGCCCAGGGATCACTGCTGGTGGTGCCTGGTGGTGCTTGGGGACAATATGTGGTACTGGAATTAAAATCAGGGCTGCTATTGCAGCTGCATTCTGGGCAAGTGCATTAACCTTTATACTATCTCTCCTGCCTTGTTTATTCTTTTAAATTTTAAACCGTTGACAAAAAGTAAAGAAAGGTTACTATTTTAAGCATGATAATTTTATGAAATTTCAGCACCCATAAATAAACTTTTATTGGAACACAGCCATGCTCATTTGTTTACATATTATCTATGCCTGCTTTCACACTACAGTGGCAGGGCTGAATAATTGGCAGAGTTGTATAGTTGCAACAGAGACCATATGGCCTGCAAAGCCTAAAATACTTACTATGTGCCCATTTACAGAAAAGGTTTGCCAACTTTAGGTCTAATCTAAAAGTATATGGGGAGGGTTGGGGTTGTAACTCAGTGGTAGAATACTTGCTTGCCTTGCTTCTTATGTGAGGACCTGTGGTTTGATTTCCAAAACCATGATGGAAGCAAGGAAGGAAGGAAGGAAGGAAGGAAGGAAGGAAGGAAGGAAGGAAGGAAGGAAGGAAGGAAGAAATGAAGGGAGGGAGAAGAAATTGAAAAGCCAGGAGATGGCTCAGTGGTTAGTGTCCACCTTGCAAGCTTGAAGTCACAAATTTAATCCCTGGTATTACCCACACACACAGATGACATCCTGGAAGCTCTGCAGTCTGGGATCCCAGAACCACAATTTCTAGGTCCACTGCAGCCAGTTGTGTGGAAGCCTCGCAACTAAATAATGTGACTCATGGAAAGCACCATAACTCCAAAATGATGCTTGAGCATTTGAGCCAAGTGCAGCCCCTCAGAGCATTAGAAGAATAAGTGGACCGGAGAGATTATACAGTGGGTAAGTCACTTGCCTTGCACACAGTCAACCTGGGTTCAATCCCTAGCAACACCACAAGTGACCCCTGAGTAGGGAGTCAGGAGCAAGCTCTGAGCATCTCCAGGTGTGGCCCAATGCCCCCAGCCCCCAAATAACAATAAGAATGAGAAAAAATAAGGATGAGGATGATTCTACCAGGTACTGTTCCATACCTGGCACATGCTTATGCTCACAACAGCCGCACAAAGCAGATATTATCAGTCCTACTCTATAGATGAGAAAACTGAGTCTTCTGGAAGTGAGATGGCTTGTTTGTGATCTCACCACTATGCATATCTGAGCTGAGAGGTGGCTCAGGCCTGGCTGGTGTGGGAGTCTTCAATCCCTGTCCTTTAGCAAAGAGGAGCATTGTGAGGGCAAAAGACCACCGATAATGTGGAGTCTTCTTCCCCGCTCTGGATCCCTGTGAGGCCCCTCTGGGTCCCTTCATCCTCCTACCATTCTCACTTCATTGATGGGTTGAGTCATGGCCTAGGTCTAGCTGCCCTTCTCAGAAAGAAGCAAGGCCCTGTGACAAGGATCTTGTTTGGTCACAACAAACCGCTGAGAAAACGTGAGGCCCAGAACCAGGCAGAACTTTCCCAAGCTCATAGAGGTAAGAATCAGGACAGAGACTCTGTTAGCATAGTTTGGTGGTTGGTTGTTTGGTTTGGGGTTTTATTGTTGTTTTGTTTGGGTTCTGGTATCGAGCCACACCCAGAGATGCTCAAGAGTTACTCCTGGTGGTGCTCAGAGGGCCACATGGGATGCTGAAGATCAAACCCAGTTTAGCTGCATGCAAGGTAAGCACCCTACCTACTATACTATTTCTTTTGCTCCTGGTTTGTGTTTTTTTGTTTGTTTGTTTGTTTTTTTGCTTTTTGGGTCACACCCAGCAATGCACAGGGGTTACTCCTGGCTCTTCACTCAGGAATTACTCCTGGCGGTGCTCGGGGGACCATACGGGGTGCTGGGAATCGAACCCGGCTCAGCCACGTGCAAGGCAAACACCATACCCGCTGTGCTATCGCTCCAGCCCCCTGGTTTGTGTTTCAAGTGATGCCAGGGATTGAACTCTGGGCCTCGCACATACAAGACAAGTGCTCTAGCAGAACAGAGAGCCTATCTCTGTTCTGAAGTCAAGCCTATCTGACTTCAGAATCACCTTCCTGTTTAAAAATTCCAGAAAATCTCCTAACAGTCCTTAGTTATCTCCTGGGAAGAAGCAGACAGACCTCCAAGGCCTTAGCAGCACAAGACACTCAGCAGTATTCACAGATGGCTGACAGAGAGAGGTCCCTTTGCCAGTCATCCCCCAGTCCCCTCAGCAAGACACACTCCTTTATTTGGGTGCTGGGTGCATTAGCAGCCTCTGGAATAAATCTCTAATTAGCTGCCCTAGCTGTATTTGCATAATGGATTTCACTTTGTTCTTAAGTTAATGGTGTTTTTGCAACAGAACAGTAACCTCTTAGTTCCTGGCCATTAAAATAACTGCCACCCTGTAGGCAGAGCTGGGGGGTTGTGAGAAGTTCAGTTAGGAACCACTGAGAGAGGGGTGGGTAGCTGGAGCAGAGGGTTAAAGTTCTCCAGGCATCTGTGCCTTCTTCCCCAGGAGTGTTTGAAGGGTGAAGGGTCTGATCCTCAAGACAGGAGTTGCAAGGGTTAGAGAGAGCCTCAAGGTGAACTGAAAAATAGCTGCAGGTTTATTCTGCCAGAGCAAACAATGTGACTGGAGGAGCATCCCGAAGGGAGGAGGGAATAACTGGTTTTACAAGGTCACTCTGGGATGAGGATAAGATACTTTTAAGGTTAAGATGCTAGTGGTAACACAGCAGGTAGGGCGTTTGTCTTGCACGCGGCCAACTGGGTTCGATTCCCAGCATCCTATATAGTCCCCAAGCACCCCCAAGCCCAGGAACTCAGGCTGGTGCTTACCAACCAGACCTGCAGGGCTTCCATGAGAGTGCAGCACAACCCTGGCTTGACATTTCCTTGGGTCCTTTGTCCCCTTCTCCCCTGTCTTCATGCCACCACCATCTCATGCTCTGAAAACACCTCCAGCTGCTGAGAGCCCCTGAGTGCATAAACTGCCCCCCACCCCCTCACCTGTGTAGCTGGGTCCCGGTCTCGTGCTCCAGCTGGGCCCACATCTTGTAGCACTCGTCCATCATGTTGGTGTAAAAGTCTTCAGGGTACGCCCTGCGGATGATCCGGCTCTGCCCATGAGAGCTGCCTCGGGAGTGCGGTAGGAAAAACTGAAAGGGAAAGTAAGAGACAACTGAGGCTGTTTCCCCGGCTGGGATCCCCTTTAAAAGTCATCTCAGGGGCCGGTGCAATAGTACAGGGGGTAGAGCATTTGCCTTGCACGCAGCCGACCCGAGTTCAAGCACCGGCATTCCGTATTGTTCCCCAAGCACCTCCAGGAGTAATTCCTGAGTGCAGAGCCAGGAGTAACCCCTGAGCATAGCTGGGTGTAACCCAAAAGGCAAAAAAAAAAAAAGCCATCTCAGTGGGTGCTAGAGTTATGTTACAGCAAGTAGCATGCTTGCCCTGTAGACAGCTGATCTGGGGTTTGATCCCCAACTTCACATATGGTCTCAGAGATTCGCCAGGTGTAATCCCGGAGTGCAGATCCAAGAGTAAGCCCAGAGCACTGCCAGGTGTAGCCCAAAAACAAACTATATATATATATATATATATATATCATAAAAATCATCTCAGAGCAGAGAGATTGTGCAAAGGCTAAGATCGGGGCGATAGTAAGGTGCTGACCAATCCCCAGTGCTGTATATGGTCCTTTGAGCACCAAGCATGACCCCTGAGTACAGAGCTAGAAATAGCCCCCTGGACACCAGTGGGTGTGTCCCCCCAAAAGAAATTTCCCCATAAATAAATAAAAATCATCTCAGGACCAGAGATATTTCAATGAGAACATGTGTTTTACATGCAGAAGGCCTGTATTTGTTTTTGTTTCAGAGCGGTGCTTAGGGCTTACTGCTGGCTCTGTGCTCAGAAATTAGTCATGGTGGGGCTTGGGGGACCAAATGGAGTGCTGGCGATTGAACCTGGGTCGGCTGCCTGCAAGGCAAATGCCCTACCCACTGTACTATTGTTTTGGCCCCCAAGAAGGCTATGTTTGATCTGCGGAACTGCATGAGGTGTAGCTCTTCCCTGAGAACTACTAGTCATGTCCCCAAACCATAGAAAGTGAAAATAAAGAAAATTAAAAATCATCTTTCCACCAAGGGCTGGAGCAATAGCACAGCGGGTAGGGCGTTCGCCTTACACGCGGCCAACATGGCCGACCCGAGTTCGATTCCTCCGCCCCTCTCGGAGAGCCCGGCAAGCTACCAAGAGTATTCGATATGCCAAACACAGTAACAACAAAGTCTCCAATGGAGACGTTACTGGGCCCGCTCGAGCAAATCGACGATCAACGGGAGGGCCTTTACCTTTACCTTTACCATCTTTCCACCAGGAGCCATTTGTTCTTCAAATATTTCCATTCAAACTGTCTCTCCCTTTTTGCCCGATTACTGATTAAACTATCAGGACAGTTCTTTAGGAACATGAACTCAGTCTTCCTTTTTGCTAACAACTTTCCCATTCCTTATTGATTCTCCAAAAGTCAGCCTACTGCAATTTCACCCCACCCGTAGAAAAGCAGAATTAGGAAAAAAATCTTAGATGGGGCCAGAGAGATAGAACAGCAGCTAAGACACCTGCCTTCCCTGAATTTGATTCTTAGAACCACATGTAGCTTCCTAGGTACTACCAACAGTGATCCTAGAGTGCAGAGCCAGGAGTAAGCCCTGAGCACAGCTGATTGTGGCCCCAAAACCAAAAGATAGGGAGAAAGAGGGGGAAGGGAGGGGAGGGAGGGAGGGAAAGAGAAAGGAAGGAAGGAGGAAGGAAGGAAGGAAGGAAGGAAGGAAGGAAGGAAGGAAGGAAGGGAGGGAGGAAGAATTTTCTAGATCCCTCTAGTCTAGTCTTCTCATTTTATGGACAAGGAAATTGATGCTGACTATTTTTTCTGTGGTTTCAGACCATTCAGGACAAACGGGAGCCCTTAGGACTTAGCAAAAGATGAAGAGTTTCCTCCAAGTTTGGACCAGGACTTTCTCGAGCTTTGAGAAAACTGATAGAGAATGAAAATGGCTTCTAACCAATCTAGCCCATGAGCAAGAAGACTAATACAAAACTAGCCTCCAGGGTTGCAGACAGAAGGGTAGAACACGCAGATGGACGTGTCCTCAGAAGAATCTGTAACTAGCTGAGGTCCACCCACAGGGCAAGGGCTCACTGAGACCTGCACTGTATGAGGTCACCTTTCCAGGAAGAAAAAATCAGACCTAAATTTTATTTTTTGTATTTCTTAAAAGGAGGATGCTATTATCTGGAGTGGGGCAGAAAACAAAAACAAAAACAAAATCAAAACAGAAACAGACGTTCCAGAATGTGCTGGGAAGAATCCTGCCTCAGAGCCTGGCAAATCAGCCTTGACATGGGAGCAATATGATATTTTTAAGCAATGTAATTAAGATCACCCTAGGCAGGTGCCAGGGAGATGGGTCAAAGGTTGAAGTGCTGGTATCACTGTGGCACCCCAGATAGAGCGGGCAGTCTCCCCACCTACTCCAGATGGAATCCTGGTGACCAAGAGCTTCCACAAGCAAGGCCCAGGCATGCTGGTTCAGGACTAAATCTCCAGGTCACACGGTGGCAGAGGACCTGGGCTGTCCCTTCCCGGGTCCCTGCCCACCCAGAAGACTGGCTGTCACGCCCACTATTTGCCTGCAGGCGCCATCTTAAGGAACCAACAGCCCTGGCCCAGAGACTCCCAACTGAATCCCAAAATGGATTAGTGCCATACAGAGATGTCTCTGGAACCCAACCATTTGCAATCTAGAAATTTACATTTACAATCACAGCCACACGAGTTCTCATGATATTGAAAACGAGCAATGGAAAATAAATTATCTAGCGTCTCCCCTGGCAGGTAGGCTTGAATGGTGGTAGGGAAATTTGAGCGAAACTTAATGCCCCAAATTAGAGAGTATTGGGGAAATTGTCTGCCAAGAAGGCAGGGATGTGAGGACTGGGATGAGTGTATTTGTGTTGGGGGGAGGGGGCATACTGGGGACATCGGTGGTGGAAAATGTGCTCTGGTGGAGGGATGGGTGTTCCATCATTGTACGGCTGAATCTCAAACATGAAAGCTTTATAGCTCTATCTCACAGTGATACAATAAATAAAAAGCAATGTGGAGTTCATGCCCAATTCAATCAGCTTAATCAATGGCCAATAGCTGAACAAATAGCAGTATTCCTACATTATTAAAAAAAAAAAAAGGTTGGAGTGCTGCTCTGCATGCAGGAGCCCCTGGTTTGATGCCCAGAGTTACATGACATGCTCCCCTGAGCTCCACTGCAAGTGGCCCTCTGAGCCAGAGGTGAGTGTGACCTCCAAACCAGAAACAAGAAAGATTACCCATCCGGAGCTGATTCCTTTTCGTGAGCCAAACCAACCTATTCTGGTCCAGAAGAGACCTGGGTAGCAAGAAGGAAGAAAAGGGCCTTGGATGCTGCTTTGTTAAGATTAGGTCATGGCAGTAGAAACAGGGGCCAGGAAGGGAAGGGCAGTTGGGACAGAGAAGGGACCACCATGACAGTGATAGTTGGAAACGATCACTCTGGAGAAGAACTGAGTATTGAAAGGAGGTAACCCTTTCAGTAACAGTATCGCAAACCACAGTGCCTAAAAGGAAAATGAGAGAGAGAGAGAGAGAGAGAGAGAGAGAGAGAGAGAGAGAGAGAGAGAGAGGAGAAAAATGTTAAAGAGGCTAGGTGAAGGGAACAGGAGGGAACTACAGACATTGGAGACCGGAAATGTTACACTGATGAAGGGACCACAGGTGTTGAAACATTGTATGACTGAAACTCAATCATGAAAAACTTTGTAACTGTGTATCTCAGGTGATTCAATTAAAAAAATTTACACGCGGCCAACATGGCCGACCCGAGTTCGATTCCTCCGCCCCTCTCGGAGAGCCCGGCAAGCTACCGAGAGTATTCGATATGCCAGACACAGTAACAACAAAAGTCTCCAATGGAGACGTTACTGGGCCCGCTCGAGCAAATCGACGATCAACGGGAGGGCCTTTACCTTTACCTTTACCTTTTTTTAATTTTAAAAAAGGAATAGGTCATTGGAGCTGGAGAGATAGGCCAGTGGGTAGGGCGCTTGCCTTGCACACAGCTGACCAGGGTTTGATTCCCCCGCATCCCATATGGTTTTTTGTGCAGTGCCAGGAGTAATTCGTGAGTACAGAGCCAGGAGTAGTATCTGAGCACTGCTGGGTGTGACCCCAAAAGCAAAACAAACAAAGAACAACAACAACAATAAAAGGATTGATCATGGAGACTGAAGAGATAGTACAGTGGGTAGGGCACTTGTCTTGCACTTGGTCAACCTGGGTTCAATCCCCAGCACCCCATATGGTTCCCTGAGCTCCTCAAGGAATGATCCCTGAACGCAGAGCCAGGAGCAAACTTTGAACACTGCAGGGTGTGGCTCAGAGGCAGCCTGGGGGACATCGGTGGAGGGAAGTGGACACTGGTGAAGAGATTGGTATTGAAGCACTATATGCCTGAAACTCAATCATAAAAAAAACTTTGTAAATCATGGTACCTCAATGGAAAAAAAAAAGAAGAAGAAGAGGCTAAGAATGAGGCTGGAGAGCTAGTATAGTCTGCAAGGCACTTGCTTTGCACAGGACAGACAGAGCCGGGTTTGATCCCCGCCAATGTATATGGTGCCCTGAGCACCGCCAGAAGTGATCCATAAGCACCACCAGGTATAGTTCAAGAACCAAAACAAAACAGGAATAGGTCAAGGAAGCAGCAAAGGGAGAAAATGTACCTAGAAACCTAACAAGGGTGTTATGGGAAGGAGAACTTGCTTTGCATTGTCACGGAACACACCGGCAGCCAAGCTCCAAACTGTACAGAATTTGATAATTCTGGTTCTTTGGCCTTTACCCGACAGCCTTCCGGCTCGAGAAACCCCTCTGTAGGGGAGGGGATGGGGACAGTCCCTGGGCTCAGAGGGGACACAGTACCTGCTCCAGCAAGAGGACCTTCTTCTTGTGTTTGGCCAGGTGGTATGCAGTGAAGCAGCCCTGGATGCCAGCCCCGATCACAACGGCATCATAGAGATGGTGCTGTGCTGCCATGGTGCCCTACGTTACCCGCAGCCGCCGAGCCCGCATAGAAGACAAACAATGGCAGGCTCCGGGCTGGAGGGGAGGAGCAAGGCAAAGTCCAGCATGGCCAGTTCCCCACAATCCCCTGGAGCCATGACCTCTACCCTGAGGTTCCCTCCCTGGAGCCTTGCTTCAGGTTCTGCTCCCGCCTCTTCCTCCTCGCCTGCAGAGCAGAGCTAGGGAATCTGATCAGGAGGTTTCACCCAGCTCAGCTGCCAGCCTCACCCTTGCATCCCTCTAGCTTTCTATTCTTGGCTCAATTATTGTCATGCAAATGGCCTCCTTCCTATGCCACCTTCCTGTCTCATTATGATCTTTGTCTTGGGACTTCGGCCCAGGAATTTCAATGCTTCCCAGACCAAGCTGGGCACCAGGAATACTGCCTCCCCCTGCTGGCTTCCCGCTCCAGCCTGATTTTCTTCTTCGGAGACTCAGGAGGGCTGAGCTAAGAACTTGGCACCGGGCCCAGGGTAAGGCCCACTTCCCTGGTGTGTGGTGAGGTCAGGGGGTAAACAGAGGGGCCAATTAAGAGATCAGTTTCGTGATTATGAAATGATTCTCAGCATGTTTTGCTTTTCTCTCTTTTTTTTTTTCAAAAAAAAAGGAGAAAAAAAGATCCTGAATAAATGGAGAGGGAAGAGAAGGAGCCTTCGGGGGCACAGCCAGGGGACCCCAGGCTGGCATGGAGGCACAAATACTCCAGGTACTCGGTCCTCTTACATGCATTCAGGATGAATCTGTGATTTGCAGGACCTGGGCTTTTTTTTTTTCAATTTGAGGGGTACTTTTTTAAGAAAGGGAAGAGAAAAATTATGAGTACAAAATTATGTGCCAGGACTGGGAGAAGGTGGTGCAATTAAGGGTTCCCGCAGCTGACGTTTCATTAGCTTCGCAGTGAATTTGCCTGTGCAGGCATCACCTCATTTAATCCTCAGATCCTGAGGAGTAAGGATTTTTTTATTCCACCTTGAACATATTAAAGATGCTCCCTTTTGGGCCAGAGTGATAGTACAGTGGGTAGAGCATTTGCCTTGCATGAAATGAACTTGGGTTTGATCCCTGGCAACCCACGTGGTCCCCAGAGCACTGCCAGGAGTAATTCCTGAGTGCAGAGCCAGGAATAACCCCTGAGCATCGCTGAGTGTGGCCCTAAAACAAACAAAATGTGCTCCTTCTTTGTCATTCCTTTATCTCAGGTTCTGTGGCTGGCTGAACCTCACAGGGTACTCGGACATCTAACAGGTTAGACAGCCAGAGAGAGAGCACCAGGGTTAAGGTACTTACCTTGCACAAAATTAACCCCAGTTATATCCCCAGCACCACGTAGGGTCTGCCAAGTACCACCAGGGATGATCCCTGAGCCAGGAGTAATGGAGCCCATTGTTTTGGAACCAGAGGAAGCTACCCATCACCTTCCCCCAGCAAGGCCCCGCAGCCAGCCTTCCACTCCCAGGAAAACGGGCCCACGGAGGGCTGCCAGAGGATTGGCTTTTTTCCCTTCTGGAAAAAAAGAAAATCATTTAAGAATTCAGAAATCATTCCAACCCCTCCCGGCCCTCAGCCACTTGGGACAAGATGACATCTGCTTCCCATAGGATGACTCCCCTAGAGTGAAAAATGACAAACGTAATGCAGAAAAATGTACTGCTTGAGTATGTAAAGGCTTGGTATAAATATCGAAGGTCAGCCCCTGGATTTCTCTTGATAAGATGTCAGAGGAGATGAACAGTTTACACACAAGGAAGAACAGGCCATAAGTCCTTGCACGGGAGCCTGCCCAGACTCGCTAGCAATGAAAACAACGGGAATTAAATAACTGCAAGGTGCGATTATGTGCCCATTAAATAAGCAAAAATAAATTAAAATGCTTTTAAAAGCCTTACATTGTCAGTGCTCTGGGGCCGAGAGAAGAGCAGGGAACAACTGAGATTGTCCTCACTTTCCAGAGAGTGCTGGGCCGTGAACAAGAAGAGCAAAAATGTTCAAACCGTCAGACCTAGAAATTCGACTTGGGTAACGATACCCCCGGGGAAATAGCTAAGACAATAAAAAGTCATTTAAAGGAAGACATAGCTATACTTTAATTTTTTATTTATTTTTATTTTATTTTTTTGGCATTGGGGTACTTGGGAGTGCTCAGGCCTTACTCCTGGCTCTGCATTCAGGGATCATTCCTGGTGGGCTTTGGGGACTATATGGGATGCCAGGGATCAAACCTGGATCAACCAGGAGTGAAGCAAATACCCTACCTACTGTACTCTTGTTCCAGCCCAAACATTACAATATAAAAAAAATAAAAGGCGGGCTGGAGCAATAGCACAGCAGGTAGGGCATTTGCCTTGCACGTGGCTGACCCGGGTTCAATTCCCAGCATCCCATATGGCTCTCCAAAAACTTCCAGGAGTAATTCTTGAGTGCATGAGCCAGGAGTAACCCCTCTGCATCGCTGGGTGTGACCCAAAAGGCCTCTCTCCGAAAAAAAAATCAAAGGGTTCTGGAGTAATAGTATAGTGGGTAGAAGACTTGGCCTGCAGAGCCGACCCAGAGTTCTGTCCCTGGCACCAAATATGGTTTCCTAAAGTGATCCCTGAGCACAGAATCAAGAGTAAACCCTGAGAGCCACAAGGTGTGACCCCCAAAGTAAAATAATAATAATAATTTTTTTTTCCCCTCCCGTTGATCATCGATTTGCTCGAGCGGGCCCAGTCTCCATTGGAGACTTTGTTGTTACTGTGTTTGGCATATCGAATACGTCACGGGGAGCTTGCCAGGCTCTGCCGAATAATAATAATAATAATAATAATAATAATAATAATAATAATAATTGGACACAGCCCCTTCACAGGGACTCACTGAACAAATTAGCAGGTTGATACAATGAAAAACTAGGTAGAGATTCAAAGGGAGGCGAGAGGACCATTGGTTGAACAGTAAAGTGAATCGGAGCTAATTCTGGAAAGGGGGGCGGAACACAAAACTCACCCGTCTCACCCGTGAGTTATGTCCGTGCACACGTTAGAGAAGAACTAAAGAGAATTTGGCCAGGTAATTGAGCTTAACGCTCATTAGTTTCCACATTCTATAAAAATTGCACTTCATTCACCATTTATAAAAGAAGGAGAAATCCCCCGGGGAAGCAGATGGCTCAGATCTCACTAGCCACCAGCTCCTGGGCCCAGGGAAGTTCTGTCTTTGTTCTAATCTCCATTGCTCCAGCTGCCCCCGACATTTCTTATTGTTCGTCCCCCAGGGAAGCTACAAAGCAGGGCTGCAATCCCCCCCTCTCCTTTGTTTAATATAATGTCCCTTTCGGAATAAAATGTCAATTCGTTTCTCCATCCCTACTTCACAAGCGGCCCTGGGTTTCTGGACTCAAGCATTCTGCTGCTTATGAAGAATTTCAAACGGCTCCTCCGAAAATGAACACGTTGACCACAGCCAACCTGGAAATGAAAAGCAAATCAACTTCTGAGGGCTTCTCCTCTTCTCAGGTTTGCCCATCCTTGGGGCTGTCCTGACAGGGACAGGCAGAGAGAAGTGATCCCCTCAAATCCCATTTTAACTCCATTCTGGAAGGGAAGACTATTAAACGGAAAGCCTGCCTGCGACTCCGCGCCACTGGTGTGTGTCAGCAATAGCGGCTGTGTCCTGGGGCAAAGCCACCGAGGATGTGAGACTGCCGTGCTCCTCTGATGGCTTGATTGACACTTTGCAGACGAGGGTGGAGGGTGGGAGAGCAGAGCCAGGGAAGCAGCAAACGGTACAGCTCAGAAATAATTGAGGACCCGGGTTGGCGAGAGAGAGAGAGAGAGAGAGAGAGAGAGAGAGAGAGAGAGAGAGAGAGAGAGAGAGAGAGAAGAAGAAGAAGAAGAAGAAACCTTAGAGTTGCTTAGCCAGAGAGGCTACTGGCCACACCCACACCCTTCCTGTCCCTCCCCCCGCCCCCAGAACCTGGAGCAAAGAAACAGACAGACCTACCAGGATGATGACTCTCCAGCCAGATGCCAGGGGTATGTGGGCACACCCTCATCCCCAGTGTGCAGAGGACGTGCCCTGAGAAAATAGAAAAAAAAGAGCTGCAGGGCTGTATCCACTAGTTTCCATCTATGAGAAGAGTCACTAGGTTTCATCTCCTTTTCCATCCAGCTCCCTTTGCCCCCCACCCCAGTAGCTTTCTCACCCAGATTCTTGCATTAATCTTACGACTTGTCGGCCCCCCATGACCCCTTCATCCATCCATCCTTGCCCCTCTTTATTCTATGCCATCTGTCTTCTCTCTGCCTAGCACATCTGACCAGGTCACTCCCCTGCTGAAAATTCTTTCAGAGCTGCCCATTTCCCATTAGAATAAATTGCAACTCCTTAGCTTGGCACACAAGGCAGTCCCTGTCCTGGGCTCTGCCTGCTCCTGCAGCTCCACTACCCTGTCCCTTCTCACTTGTGCTCTTCAGATTCTGACAACTCTGAGCTGAGAGGGGTTCCAGCATTTGCTGCAATGATTGCCAATTGCCAGAAACCCCGAGCAGGTTGGGAAGTGCGCTCTCCCATCCTAGTTTGCTGCTGACTACCAGGCAGTGATAACAATGAGCCTAGGGCCGGAGAGAGATGGCTCACTGGGCTGGAACACAGGAATTCAATCTTGGCATAGCATGGTCCCCCAAGCACGGCCAAGAGAGCAACACCCCTCCCCCTGCCCAGGATAGAGTCAGGAATAGCCCCTGAGCACCTGTAAGCCCCACCTTTTGTCAAAAAAAAAGAAAAAAGTCCTATCATCACTTTTATTACAGTATTGAGATCATTGTTCTATCTCATTAGTTGTTGTTAATCTCTTATTATGCCTAATTTATAAATTAGGAAAAGTTTTCATAAGAACGCATAGGACAGAACATAGTACATGAAGGATTTGATATCATCCCCAGTTTCAGGATCCACAGGGATGTGCCCCCACAGAGAAGGTGGGAACTACTATAGCTATAGTAGTCTACAGTATTTACACATTTTATTTCC